TACACCCTTTTTACTGTTTGGATCATTTTATGTGATTAGACCATTAAAGCCAATTTTATCCTTTTTTATCCTTTTTTAACCTTTTTTAGCCATTTTAACCATTTTTTTTCCTGGCAGGACCATTTTAACTCACTGGACCATTTCCTACTAGTTAAACCATTTTATGTATGTTATAATAGATGTACTACATAGCAGCATGTGTGTCCTCTAGGGACCTGTAGTCCAGCTGCTTAAATATTCGTGTGTTCTTTGACATGTGGGTTGTCTTCTAAGTAAACGGTTTAGTTTTCTTATCCTTGTCTCTCATTGTCTCTCGTATTATTACATGGTGGCAGCGGTAGTTTTGTTTTCCTTTGTTCAAGTTGTCGAAAAGTTAAACCAGCTATGGCATGAATAGCAGTGAAAGTTCAAGTCCTTCGTCTCAACTGTCAGCACCGTCAGCACCTCAATCGTTGATGTTTCATCAGATCATGCCACCTCAGACTCTTGCTTTGAAACACAGGGGAGAAATCGCAGAGAATTGGAAGCTTTGGAAGGAAAAATACAACAACTATTTCGTTATTTCTAGGCTAGATCAAGAGAGCCCAGAATACCAGCTAGCAATGTTTAAGCACACGATCATAGATGATGCTTTGAAAGTTATCAAAACATTCAGTTACACTGAAGCGGAGGACTCAAATAATTGGTGCGTGGTAATGGATAAAATGGAGAAGCATTGTAGTGGAGAGGTTAACGAAATTTATGAGCGGTATTGTTTTAATAGCCGGGAGAAATTCCCTACTGAGTCGGTAGATAGTTTTGTCGCTGAATTGAAAACGTTAGCCAAGACTTGTAATTTTTATGACTGTTTAAGGGACAGTTTGATCCGTGATCGTGTTGTTCTCAGAATTATAAAACGAGCAGACTACAAAGAAACTATTAAGGATGAGAGATCTTACGTCAAATCATTGTATTGATGTATGCTGAAGCGAAGAAGTTACACAGTTGCAAATGAAGTCGCTATTGGAACCGGGAGACCGCATCTATCAGGTCAAGTCAAAGAAGAAGCCTCAAATCCCGATGCCGGATGGACGGCCCGGAAAGAAAATTTCATACAAATTTTGTGGCTATGATCATGCCCTGGAGAGAAAAAAGTGCCCTGCCTGGGGTAAAGTATGTAAGCGGTGCAACAAAAGGAATCACTTTGCAAAAGGGTGCAAAGATAAAGATGCTGCAGTTTATGCTATTGATAGCAACGAAGACTTGGAAGAGATTAGTGTCGTAAAGATTCAAGCTACGAAAGATAAGGCTGTGTTTGCCTAAATGCTAGTCCAGCAGAAACCTGTCAGATTTCAAGTTGACTGTGGAGCCATTGCTAATACTTAGCCACACAAGCATGTGGAAAATGTGGATCGTGCCCCTTGTTCCCAATCCCTTGTTATGTGGAATGGCACCAAGGTGAAGCCTGTGGGGATGTGTGCTCTGCCAATTGTAAATCCCCGAAACAATACCAAGTACAAAGTAAGTTTTCTGGTCGTCAAGGAAATTCTAACTCTGCTTCTGGGTTTAAACGCTACTGAGAAAATGGGTTTGCTAACCGTGCACGAGGAGAACTTTGTGAGGGTTGTGGAGAATTTGGAAAATGATCTGGTCATCAAGTATGCAGATGTACAGATGAGCGCCTTGGCAAGCTGCCTGGAAAGATTCATCTACAGGTCGATCCGGCCTCTCAACCAGTAATTCTCCCAGCCAGGAAAGTGCCTGTCTCAGTCAGAGAGAAATTCAAAGCGGAACTTCAAAGGTTGCAGGAGCTCGAGGTCATTGCTCCCTTCGATGAGCCAACGGAATGGGTCAGCCAGTTCATTGATGCTGTCAAGAAATCTGGTGAATTATGTGTTTGCATGGATCCTAAGGCTTTGAATGCCGACCTGAAGAGGGAAAGATACCAGATTCCCATCATTGACGATTTGTTGCCCGATTTGACAGAGGCTCGGGTGTTTACAAAGTTGTTGATCTCATGTCTGCTTTTTGGCATTTGGTGCTGGACGATGAGTCTAGTCTGTTGACAACTTTTGCCACCCCTCATGGAAGATTTCGCTGGCTTCGTTTGCCATTTAGTCTGTGTGTCAAGTGAGATATTTCAGAACATTTGCACCAAGAGTTGCTTGGTCTGCCTGGTGTGAAATGTATGGCCGATGACGTGCTCATTTATGGAAAAGATGACGCTGATCACGATTGTAACCTGGAGGGTTTCATGAAGAGATGTCAGCTGAAAGGTATAAAGCTCAATCGTGTGAAACTGGATTACAGGTGCAAAGAAGTTCTCTTTCATGGGCATCTCTTGACAAAAGAAGGTCTGAAGCCAGATCCCCAGAAAATCAAGGCGATTACTGAAATGCCACGACCTAAAAAGCCAGATGTGTGGCATGTAAATGGTATGGTTAATTACCTCAGTCGTTTCCTGCCAAACCTTTCTGACACGATGAAACTGCTCCGTGACCTTACACATAAGGATGTAGAATGGTGTTGGTCCAACGTGCAAGAAAAAGCTTGGAATGAGGTCAGGAGCCTCATCGCATTTACCCCCATGCTATCATACTACAAGCCTGATGAGCTGTTAGAAGTGCAGTGTGACAGCAGTCAAGCTGGTCTGGGTGCGCCCTTCTGCAAGGT